ATTTTATATTTTGTTGCTTTGTTGAGTCAGTGGCCTTGAAATAAGTATAAAGTAATATTAGGGCTGGGCGATATGGCCCAAAAAAGAAATCTCTGATTTTTTTTTATTCCAAATTCTATTTTAATCGATTTTGCTTCCCACTTGACGAAGTGCCTGTTTCAGGTGTTGAAACCGTACTTTTGTACTCCTGCTTTTTGTAGAGCCTTCAAACAGATTTTGCAGGGAGGTGGTTGCTGCTCCCAGTCCGAGGTTGCAAAACCTAACCAGTTCCAGAAAACTGAAGAAACAGTGCATTTTTTGAGAAGTAGATCTTCTTTGCCAGCTGCCATATTGTCATGTCRTGTACCAAGCATCTTGAGGGACAGGTGGGATGACCTCTGAACTACAGAAGCCTCAAAGAGTGCACTGATGGGGAAAAAAATCTTGATTTCCCCCAAATTAAATCTTTATTAATGGAAAATTCAAATTAATCTATTAAATCGATTTATTTATATGTATTTAAATTGGAAATTAGGTCACAATTTTCTGAAACAGTTTGAAAACAACTGAGCTAACTCGCATTAGCCAATATGAAAATGTCCACAACTCGGGCAGTTTTACAGCAGCTGGGATCAGATTTAAAGTGGTCGCAGCACAAATACTAACATGTTGCAAACAGACACGGGTCGGACACCGGTTTTACTGTAGACCCAGATATGACAAAGACACGGTTTCAAAACTGCTACAATTTTCTGTCATACCGTTGCTGCAAAAGTGTGATTATATTTGCCAAAGATTATCATACAGTTAAAATTTTATACCAGCCCATGCCTGGTTGCAAACAAAATTTATCGAAGTGTTTCCTCTTCCTGTATCTAGGGCTGCACCCAACAATCTTTTTGATAGTTGACTACTTTTTCAATTAATTGATTATTTGATTAGTCTGTTATTTCTGTCACGWCTGTATATTTCCTGTGGTGCCTCTCCTGTATACATCTCCTCTCACCTGTTATCCACTCCATAACAAGTTCCCAAAGCAAATTAAAATCATGTCCCCAGTAGTTTGTGTATTTTATTGCAGATACAAATGAGCAGTTTCGTGGGTAAATACCACCAACATCTGATAATAAAATTCTGTCTACTATTTTTTTTTTAATAATTGAAGTTATCAATAGTTTGGAATAATCTGCAACACATTCAGTTTTCTAGAAGCCGTTTAGCAGAAGCTGTTGGAGCCGAGGCTCCTGGGTGAGCTTCTGTTCCTGTGCTGGACATCAGAGTCACACTTCCTTCACGACAAACTCAGAAACAGCTCTCACTTTTTACGCCACTTCCACGGTTGTCTCGACGCTTTAACAGCTACAAGAATATCAGTCCAATGCTTCAGTTTAAACGGTCCACTTCTCTCTTCAAACAAGCTCGTTATTCTGTCTGCAAAGTCATCTCTACCATCCCTGGGGTGCATCTGTGCACAATATTTAATCATCTAACAGCTGCATATTGTCTGCTGGCAGGTAGGGGCTTCACCTTGGACAGTAAAAAGCTGCAGAACCAGTTGGTCAAACCACATCAACGCTTTCTCATCTCCCCTGGTAACTGAAGCTGATCTAATCATTTTGGAGCCTCACGTGGGCACAAGTGACCCAGTTCTTCATTGTACCTGTTAGACCCAACTGTTTCCTGATCATTTGGTTGGAAGATTACAGTAAAACCAGAGCTCGAAAAMAAAAAGTCTCTGCCTCGGCTCAGAGAATCATTTGCATCTTTATTAAGTCTAATAAAACCACAACTGCTTTGTTATATAAAGAYTTGGTTTTGCCCCAAATTTCCTCAAAATGAACAGGCTCCCTGCAGGTGAAGCACAACTTCTGTTTGTTGAGGACACATCTGATTAAAAGGTGACACCAACCAGAATCTGCAAAAACTTACAGGAAAATAACCAGACCTGCAGAGATCCTTCACAGATTTTTATATCATAGCATTAATGCTGCTTCAATTGTGTTGAAAACAATACACAGCAYACATAAAGGGGAGATAAAAACAAGAAATGATCCATTTCTTTTCAATTTTTAGAGGGAGATGAACAAAAAAATGCAATCGCTAATAAAGTTTGGAAACAAACATTTTTCCATACTCAGTTTTCTTTTGGCTGTACTTATCCAGAACTGGAACAAAAATGAAATCAAACTCCATCCTTTATCAGATTTTAAGACTGAGTAGAAAACCTACACTTAATATTTTAAAGTGATTGCTTGAGAAAAAAAATCAGACTTTAAACTGTTGCAATAATATTTCATCAGTCCATGTTTCATTAAAGCAGAATAATCATCCTCTTGTCGCCACTTCTGAACCAACTCTGGAGTGATTCAACACATTTCCTGTTTTTTCAAAATGTCTTAAATTCTCTTTAATCTCATCCCAGCAAKAAAAAAAACACAACGGGGTGAAACTGAACTATCTACTGGCTCATTGTCATCACCACTTCATGAAAAAGTAAGATTGCATCTTCTTAAATAAACATTTCATTGTCCTGGTGTGAAACTACTACAACAAACAACATAACTAAGCAAGTTTCAAACAATAAATGTAATGTGCAGAGTTTTCTGCTTTTWATGTGTTTTGACTGATGCCATCTTGTTTTTTCCATTTAAATAAACCGTAATGTGCTTTTGCTGCCACTAGAGGGCAGACAAATCCATCCATCAAAGAGGACAGCAGCTCTATGCAATAAGAATTGAGTTATCTTTTAGTGATGTTTCAGTRAAAGGTGGATATTTAATGTGTTTGTAAAATGATACAGGTTATGACCTAATGTCTGATGGATTTAACATCTATCTGTTCACAAAGAAACAATCACTGCAGCAGTGGTACGTGATCTGTGGAAGTTTGTAATTTCTGCCTTGTCATCAGGACAACAAGGAAGAGTCTCAAATCCCTCAAACCTTTAAAAGGTTGCATTCARAAACATCTGCTGTAACATCTGGTAGAAACATTCTCCTCTGGATAATAATCTGAACGACGAAGAGGTGAGAACAAAAATATATAGCATCTATGTAATATATAAAGTGTATTAGTATACTGCCATAAAGATCTGTTTAAGACATTACCAGACCACAACCCAACCTCTGTAGACTGCTTTAGTAAMACAAATAGTGTTCAGTGGGACATGTTCCACAGATCCAATCAAACCAACAAGTTCATCTGCACAAACCAAATAATCTAAAACCAACCTTAACAAAGTTATACAACAAGAAGCTGGGAGACAATAAGCAAAAAGAAGGTGTTTCTGCAGAAAATTACAAAACCACAACGAAAAATGACAAACTGTAATTTTCTAAATTAAACTATGTTCCCAACGGTTAGGTCGGCAGAAATTCACAACTAAAGTCACCTCAGAGGACCGAAAGACGTCCAGACGGAACCCCACAGTGTACCCACGACCAGCAGAAGTCCCACCTGTGTGTGTCCTCCTGTGTCTCTGCAGCTCGTCGCTCCTGGTGAACCTCTTCCCGCAGTACATCCAGTTGCAGACGAAGGGTCTCTCCCCGCTGTGCCAGCGCAGGTGAGCTCGCAGGTGAGACGTTTTCCCGTAGACCTTYCCGCAGCCGGGGATGTGGCAGATGTGCTGCTTCTTCTTGCCCGTGCCTGAGCCCCTGTGAGGCAAACAGGGAGGTCAGGAAAAGTTCGTAAAGATAACAAAACTGCAATCGAGGCTGCAGACACTGATGATACTGTACATCTGAAAGGGATCCCTGATAAGTTGTAACATTAGACTTTATTTGAGAAACATTTATTTTAACTAAAATAAAGACTGTAAAAATACTGTAGACTGTTTAGTTTTGTAATTTTTTAAATATGTATTTTAACACTAACAGGGCCATTTTATTTACACACAAAGCATTCTGGGTAAATGATGATGTGGATAGG